TGATGTTAAGATCTCCTGAGGCCAGAACACCCTTTGGGAGACGCTCAGAAACTTGCAAGGCAAAGTGTGCAGTACTGGGAGAAACTTAAGGTGACCAGACTTTATTCCATAAATGAGAGAATTATCTCAATGTTAAAAGACTACAAAAAAACTAGTAGAAAATTCCATTACATACAACATGACCTAAGGATGCTCACTTTGTCCTCTACTAAATGTAATGGAATATTAGAAGAAATTAATTATTTCTGCAAACCACAGTAATCTAAAAATAGAACCATTATTTTATTTAGAAAAGCCACTAAGAAATCTGATTAACTCCTCCATATTACAGTTTTTGTTATCATACACACACACACACACCAGGCACAATCAGCTAGGAGGAGAATTGCTTCTCCTAATTTCATGGGGAAAAGCTGTTTGATGCTACATGACACAAGACGTTTCATGATCCCGTCTATCTAATGTATTAAGATAAACTGTGCCTCGCATAGAGCAGGTATGATTTTAAAAATATGAAAGTTGACAGGATGTGTATTAGTTTTATTCAGAGAAACAGCACTAAACCAATAACTTTTTTCCAATAAAAATTAAATGTAACAACACTGAGCTATGCCCAGGGAAAAAAGTGGACTACATCACCTGTTACAGTGTCCTTGCTGTGCAAACATAACATGTGAACTTAACATTATTTCATATTTTACTAGCCTACTTTTAACATTTATTCATACTCTTATTCATAAGTGGCCAATTTTTCATGTGTTGCTGCCTAAGCTGCACCTACAAAAGCTCCACATGCTTCTGCTTTACAACCAAAGCTTGCATAGATGAGAACTCACATCCACAGACAGACAACTAGACTGGTAGTAGCTGGTGTGTGCTCATTCCCATACATGCTTGTAAGATGCAACAAAGACTCCACATTACAAAGTAAAGACAACGTTCATGCCAATTAATTGCCATTAATGCGATACTTCTTATACTTGAGTGACACATAAACATAAGTTAGCTAAAGGATAAGAGCTCTCTGTACACAACTCAGATGCACAGGCATACAATTTCATAAGAAAAAAAACTCTTAAAGGATCAATGAGGATAGATAAAAAGTGTGTAACTCGGGGGCAGAAAAAAAAATTGAGGAATGTGGATTTTAAACAGAAGGAATTTAGAATGAGTCTGTGTCATCAACTCTCTCTTTTCTAGAATACTGTACAAGGTAGATCAATCAATAGAATGACTGAGGCACGTCACTTTCCCTTTGGTTGCTCCAAAGGCAAAAATCAACGTCACCAGGAAAGTAATTCATGTATGAAACTTGAGTACACAAGTATCAAGCAAAGTTTTCATCACTTCATCAAAAACACATTAATATCCTGTGACTTAGAGCTATGGTTTTGCCTTTTTTTTAAAAAAAAAAAATGGACTACTCAAATACATGAAGCCCTGACAACATCTGGTGCTGGGAAAACCAAAGACAATGGTCTACCACCTGCAAAATTTGCCAAGTGATCAGGACAGGCAATAATCTGTCTCACCAAATCAGATGGTGAAAGAAGTCAGCCACAGAATCCCTATAGCAATACTAAAAGAAATGTGTTCAAGTGCACATGGAGCAAGGACCAGGGAAAGGACCTAATAGGACCATTCAGAAGGACATAATTTGGCCATCTGTGACAAAGATTAATTTTGCAACCACACTTCTGGACACACTTAGAACTTTTGTAGCTAGGTGCCTTTTGAAGAATGTCTTCTAGGTTCAGAAGATAGAAATGATCTCTCCAAGCATATCTGACCCTCATACATGTAAAATCTAATTCCATGTGATAACCTCCTATGCACAACAGTAATTTTATGGTGGCATCTTCACACTACCATGCCTCTTTCCTCCTCCTGAGACAGAAAGGACATCAGTGCAAAACAAGAGTCAGTACAAGGAATGTGAAGGCCTAAAGAATCTTAAGCAGTAGCAACAAAGCACTGAGAGATGACCTGCAAAACCTATGGTATCAGTACTTGAGAGTAGTTTTTTAATTTGATAAAATATGTATTGGCTGGTGGCCAATCTCTTAGGTAAGTCACCTACATAACTATAATTTAAAACAGGAATAAAAGTACATTTAAGTAAGAATAGCAATTCAAATCTGGGTGCTTAAATTAGTAATTGGACACCTACACGTTGCCTCTAAGTGCAGACTAAAGAATTGCCTCTTGAAGAATGAGACATCAATAGACAAACTCGGGATATACTTGTCTGCCATTCTAATACAAAATAAAAAGCCATTACTGGTTTTCAAATCCACTTATATAAGTGTCAACTGCTAAAGTACCTATTACAGTGATATCATGGGCATCCAGTACCTTTCTTCCCACAAACAGTGGTCATTTATGACCACGTTTAGTCAGCTTACCGTTTCTTACGTGTCTGCAAAACTCCTGGACAATTTGGGGTTTTCAGAGGAGACCTTCACTTCAGCATGATAGCCAGAGTAGTTTTGTAAGATGGAATTTCATATGGCAGAATGGCTGGGCTTTAGTTGTTTTTCAATATTTGGTTGTATTGTGTTTATTTTCTATCTGAAAGGATTAGCCTAAAGACAACAAGGTACGCTGAAGCTGCTCAAAATCCCCTGAAGACCCTGTTATCACCATCTCTCATGGCTTTGTCCCCTAGCAACTATCGAGTAATTGGCACAAAACCTTCCCTCTCACCTGGCAGTTTCTGTTAGCTCAGTTTCATACCGCCCAGGCTCAGCCAACTCAGAGTTCATCTCTCCAGAAGTTTCAGGAAGCAGACAGTGAGGCCGCCACATTTTTGACCATGTCTTTTGCTCATAATATATAAGGCAAATTGAAGAATAGGAACAAATAAGTTTTGCTCAGTTAAAAGACAAAGCTGTGCACTCTCCTAAGTATGCCCAAGGTATGCACAGTCGACAGCATCATTGTAGCCAGCTCTGCTAATGAGTTGCTTGGGCCCTTCTACACAGCACAGTGCAGCACCACGTGAAGGTCTCAGCCATCAGCAGCCAGAACATCCATAAGCATATGGCAGCACCTTGCAGAAACACGAGCATGGGACATCTGACCTAGGCAGGGCTGCACTATGCTCTCAACAGCATCTGCAGACCTTTTGGAAAGCACCCCAGCGTGTCCACCCAGACGTTTAGAGAGATGCCAAGGCTGTTTCACATGTGTAGCACACTAGAAACAGTTTCCCAGTGCGGTTGAGTCAATCCCAGGGCTAGCTGCCTTCCCTCTCCCCACCTCCTGCTCCTGCCCTTGCCAAGGACCTTGCCCAACCCTCTCGGATGAGCCACTTAAAGGCTGAGACAGTGGGACGATTTACAGTTAGGAGGAAGTGGGTTTTTTTGTTGGGTTTGGGGTTGGTTTTTTTTTTTTGGCGGGGGGGGGGCATGTGTTAACTCTTTCTCCCAGTTCACTCTGCTGGTGCAAGGGAGAAGATGGGAATCCATAGAAGTGGACTGAGTGCATGTAGGGAAGAGAGCCAGCATCAGTGTCAGAGACCTGTGAGATCAGTTCAAGCTCAATTTGATAATATAGCCAAGTTCACTGCAGGGAAATACTGTAAAAGAGCTAAGTACTGTTAACTTAGCAGCTGGTGGTATTTAACTATGCATAACATATTCTAGAGGAAACCCAACAGCAAATATTTCTATTAAATCGTAGTAACAACAATCTGTCTGACTAAAAGAAAACATGACTTTCAAACTTATGTAACACATATACTTGAAACCAGCACTCTCTGGTGAGCGTATAGCAATGATAAGTCAGCAGTTTCCAAAACTGGATTTCATTGCTTAGAGTTGTAAGTGTGGCACAGCAGTCTTACAAGCAGCAAGCTGTTGTTACTCCGCAGTGGTGGCAACTGCCTAGCAGGAACACAGTGCTTGGTACTTGGCTGCCAGAAAGCGAATTCTCAGATACAGGTACTTCACAGCAGAGGTTAACATGTCATTGTTAAAATTAACTACATGTCATGCAGCTACTACTTCTCATTATAATAAGCTAAGTACAGGGACAATCTAATTCACCCTGTTCTTACTACATTCAGTGTTGAAACGCCAAAGAATGAACAAAATATGTTCAGATGATTCCTATAAAATAATATTCGGACTTACTCCCATGAAAATGAACATACTTGCCCAGCTCTTTTCTGTTTCCCATTAATTGCCCACAACAAAGCAGCAGCAGCGGTTGTATTTCCCAATGTCTGAAACAATTAGCTCACAAAATCTCAAGTAAGAACCACTCTCAGGTTTTTTTTGGTTGGCTTCCTTTTTCATTAGGAAGGATTCAGTTATCTTCATTTAAACTGGCCTAGTCATTCATACCATTCTTTGAAATGACTGCATCTCAAAAAGCTAGGTGTTGACTGTGATTTTGAAAATATCAAGGAATAAACAAATACATGGAAACCCATGTTCTACAAAATGCATTCAAACTCATTTTTCAATAGCATCCCTTTTTGTCAATGGGATTAAATTAGCAGAGACTCTTTCCTAGCTGACCTTCACATAACATCCTTTTTTGTCAATGGAATTAAATTAGCAGAGAGTTTTTCCTAACATTAGTACCCAAAGAAAGAAATATAGAAGTAAAGGGAAGCAAGAAAAACAACACACCTAGCAGTAAACTGCCAGTTTTCACTCCTGAGTAACTGTAGTTACTATTTAGTAAAATGGTGCTAGGTTGAATTATTTATTTCCTGTTAAGCTCCTTTCACCTGACAATCTAAAAAAAGATTTTTGAGACAGAAAGCTCAACAGCAGTAACTTTCCTCACAATGTATCTCACATGAGGCTTGTGCACAGTTCCTTCAGCAAGTGATCATTTCTCAGTATGACGTGCAGAGGCTTAATGGTGTACTCCTAATGGAAATTACTGGATTTTTTTCTATATCCTTGCGTCACTAACACACCTTTTTCCATACATTTTATAATAAATATTGGTAGTGTTTGGCAGGAATCGGGTAAGTGACTCACCTTCATCTAAAGGAACCTCCTCCTCCTCGCAGGGAGAAGGAAGGAGGGGCTGCAGAGGTTCCATGTTGATTATGAGTTGCTTGTTCAATGAGGGAGAGCTGCGACTCTGGGTAATGCTGGTTCTAAAAGAACGGGGAAAACAGAGTCAGTTGATTCACAAGGAAACAACTGCAGTCCAATACATCTCGTCTCAGAATTGTTTTGCATAAATTACAATAGGCCTTGGGCTATCATAACAAGCTGTGCACACTGAAGGCTGCTTTCAGCTGTGCTATGTTGCACCCTCAGCAGATATAACCCTTTCAACATCGGAAGTGTACGAGAAGGTTTTGTGCTGGTTCACTTCCCCTTGCGCAGCCTGACTCCTGCTCATCTCATGCAGGATTTCAGTGTGTTGCTCCTCTCCACACTGCACAGCAGACATGATTATACGGCTTCAAGGAAGGGGAAGGTAGAGAGGGTACAAATCATTTTCCTGACATTGTTCTATTGCCTCCAGGACTGGGTAAAGGATTTGTTACGGTTTGAACACTGCAGACTAAAGGCTAAAGCAGGAGCAACCATATCCCTTCAGTTAACAGATACACAGCGCTCATCCTGCTCATCCTCATGCATCCCAGACACTGCCTCTACACCGTGCCTCCAGGTGCTCAGGCTGGTTTTCTTTCTTGTCTTACTTGACTCTAACAGGCTTTCCTGGTAGCAAGTGTTGAACTTTCTCAGGAAAAGTTTGAGGAATGCTGTTGATTTGCTTCATTCATGAGGCTCATTAGCCTACAATCATATTACTGAGAAAATGAAATGGCTCTTTAGTATAAGTTGTCTAGCACTTACACGATACAGGCCTGGAGCAAGAATCCTGCAATAAATCTGAGGCACTACATGATAAAATATCTACTTTTGACAAAAGCAAAGATGAAAGGGAAGAGGATTCTACTTGATTTCAAATGATACATAGGTACAGTGCTGAAGTTTCACAAAATGCATTTCAAGTTTGCACAAAGACTCAACATACAATTCCACACAAACGGAACAAAGCACCTATTACAAGTGAAAAGATGGGACTATGTGTTGCCGAGGGTTTAGGTAAACTCAGGACACAGTTGTCCCACTCTAAGCCACATTACATGTTATTAAATATTCTGTGGGGATAAACAAGCTTTCTTGCTCAATTGCCATGATTCGTTGCTCATTAACGTATGCCTAAAGCTACTTATGTCCTCATTTGCATTCTGTGAGCAGTCTCTAACAACTATTTAGTTTAAATTTTCACTATCCAAAGAAGTTTTTCACTCAGTTTACTGTAATTACAACCGCTCCAACCCAACAGTACCTCCACAGACTCATTATGCATCCCCTGGATCTTTGTGCTTGCTGTAAAGAGCTATCAAGCAACTCCCAAAATAGGAGTTGTGCCTGGGAGGACCCATAAGGCTCCTACTCCATACTTATTTACAAAGACCCCTCCTTCAGGCATGCCCTGGAAGCAAAATATTAAATTATTCACTGTATATTTGTCAGAAGAACTTGCCACTGCATTAATGCGGTGTGTGCTACACCCTCCAACAGATTTTCAGTCTGTAGTGCTTTAAGTGTAATATCCAAACACAAAGGTATTGAACACTAACTTCCTCACAACTGCATGTTTCTTGCTTAATGCAGCCGTGGTACCACTGAATTGACTTTGAGGGAGGGTGCGCAGGGAGAGAAAACTTTATATATATGAATACATATATATTTACCTTCAATCCTATCTTTTCCTCTAAATGTTTTGCATCTGAAAAACTACCATTTCCTGTCCCCAAATCCTCTTTCACAGAGTAACTTGTTTCTAAAGCTTGATTTTTGGGGGGCTGAAAATTATCTATGGTTTTGCTCATTTGTGCTATTAGAAGGACAAGCTACCTACCGGTGTCTCCCATTTCAAAACCTGCATTATAAAAACACTTGAAATCATTAGACTTTTTCTTAGACCGTCTACAAAACTGAACTTGGAGCTACCACAATATTGTAAATGCAAGCATTTTAGGAAGGTTAATCATAAAAAATATACAGTACTATTTATGGGTGTGAAAACCATATGACATTGCTCTGTAAATTTATTTGCCCTCTGATCTGTTTCTTTATGTACACTAAGAGTTTTAAACAGTATGTTTAAAATATTTTAAATACTGAAATCAAAGAAAAGTAAAACACAAGATAAAAAATAATTTTACGTGAAAATCTTTTCTTATCCTATGGAAGAAAGAAACCCTACGGAAAGTAGGCAATACGCTATTTCCTTACGTGAGTAACTATTTTCATTTAAAATACATTTGTGTGCCCAAGTAATCTACCCTGCCTCAATGATGGGCCTATATTCTGCCTTCTGTGTTCTCAGTGAGCACACTCTAGACTGTCACTCCATTTTAAAATGTAATCTGCACAAGCACAATCAAAAGCATCCCTGCATGGCCTTACTATTAATTACATAGTAGGGCTGGACAACATATTTATAAATATTTGCTGCAAAGATATTCCTACCCTTTAGTAAAGCAAATCCACTTTTCTCTCAAATACAGATGGAATAGCCATATTCAGTGACAAATAAACCAAACACACAGCCCCTGCCCCTGAAAAAAATCACAATAAAAATATTTGATATTTTTGATATGATTGTAGAATGTCCAGAAAGTTAAGTAACCTTTTAAAAAAGTTTTTAAATAGCTTTTTCCTGCTGGCCTCTTTCTTCTCTTCCAAAGGACTTCTATTACGTTCTTATCAATTTTCACTGTCACTACAATGAGTGATAAGGACCAGAAAGTATTAGTTTGCTTCCAAAGTCCAGCTGCTTATTTCTAACAAGCCAAATCTTTCCCCCCCCAAAAAAAACCACTCTCTGATCTTTTTTCTCTTTACTGAATAACATTCTTGCTTTTTAATCTGACTGCATTATGGAAAAACTATCAAGTATACCTTTAAACATATAGACCATATACATACACAATCCAGAATCTTTTAAAACCAGGCAAGAGCTGGGAATGAAACGAGAATGTACTTTACTGTCAGGATCGTGCAGTGACAGTCTAAGTCATAACACAGAAAATAATATAAGCTATTTATCTGATTGATTGATTGATTGATTAAACCTGGCTTCAAAGCAGCACAGATTAAGTTCCCTTGTGCAGGAGACAATATGCTATTGTCAGAATTTTTTAACACTGGCAACACACATTTCCCAAGGCTTGCATGCCTCGTTGTGGGAGCTCAGAATGACAGCCATTACATCTCACAGAAAAGGAAAGAGAATTTCTCTGTAGAGAACAATAATCGTCCTTAGTCCTTAAACTTTAATATTGAATGTCAAGACATACCTGTGAACTTCTGGAGGTTCCCTCTGGATTTTAGAGCTTGCCTCCACAACCTCTTTGGCTACTTTTCCACTGCATTAAAACATGAAATAAATATTCAAGCAAATACTAAGATGAGCTTGTTACATGCCGGTCACTATACATACATGAACAATTAAGTTACATTCAAAAGAAGAAAAATAAAAAACAAAAAAAAAGCCTGTGTAGTTGATATATAACACCACAGATGAAAAATTCTGCTGACCACTTGTCTGCAAAGCCACTGAAGAAAAAGCAACCTTTTGCAGTAGAGCGCTAGGAGTGGGACTGGACTGTCCCATAATGCACCCCTGGTCCAGAGCTGCCCAGTTACTGGGGGCATACAATCTCTACACCAGCTACACATCCTTGTTTTTAGAGAAACTGCACCAAAAGTGGAGCCCTGTTCTGGTGAAACGTCTCTTTGACAGAAGTCTGCATGAAGCCTCCGGTTTATTTTATAAGGGACGCTAAAGAGACAACAAAATCTTTTGAATTCTGACCTGGATTAGGTGTGAACAGGTCCTCAAGAAGGAAAAGCCCTCAATTTGCCATAAGTAACTAATGAAGTTTTCTCTTACTGTCTGAAATAGTTTACTGTGAAAAACAAACAACAAACACTCACCTATATCGAAATCTACTGCCTTTAAAAAATATCTTGCTGCTGGACATGGTCTTGATCTGACTGGATTTTGCATACCTTTAGAAAAAAGAACAGAGGCGGTCACATTTTCAGCAAGAAGGAATGCGATAAGCAAAAATGAATGCGGCTAAATACAAGCTTTGTTATTGTTACACCACAAAGTAATATTCAGTAATTGGGCTTTCCAACTTTTTTTAAGGGCTTTACACAAATTAGAATATAGAACATACATAAAACAATCCAGTCAGCCCAGAATGACTGAACATAAAACAAGTAATTGCCTGGATAGGAAAGCAAGAAAATTAAATGCTGACATTTTCTTCATCTCTAGGGACTTTCATTCACAGGATGAGGGAAAGACCGTGGCACACCAAAAGCCCCTAGGACAAATTTGCCCTAACACCACCTTGTTTGTGGGAAGATATGGCTATTTCCACTTCCACCACTACCAAAGCAATGAAATAATAAAGAAGTCGTAACACTGGTCTCCAAAAGAAGTTTGATTTCTAATGTCTCTATACAGTCAACTTCTTAGTAGCTTACATCATATCCTACTGATTCTCCCTAATCACAAAGTACACAGAAACCTTTTACCACAGTCTTTTGTCACAAAGATCATGGAAGAGTACTTCAGACACACCACCTCCGTGATGTTCTCTGCCTTCAAAATGGAAAACTGATTTCATATCGAGCCTCTCATTCCCAGACCCTAGTAGACAATCTTCTATGATTTGTATCTACTTGAAAATAATCACAATAGTCAACCTTGAGCCTGGATCAAGACAGGACTAAAGTTCTGTTTATCAAGAAATGCCAAGAGATCACGACCTTCTCTTAAATTCCAAGTCTCGAGCTCTTCTCAGAAGAGCAGAGGACCAAATCTAATTAAGGTAAAGTGTCATTATCATTAATTACTTACACAACCTGGCTACATCTGTTCTAATCTAACTAGAATATGTTACTATCATACAAACCATAAAGAGACAGGGCTTATCTAATGCCATTAAGTAACTAACAGACCACGCTGTACAGCTCAGTTTCTCTGAAACGTATGAAAACCTTTGCTGTTTCAAAACTACTATCCTAATACTTTATTTACAGATTGCTTTGGCTTCAGTTTCATGTTTGTTGTTATTTTTCTGCACCCCACATACTAACCATTACTATTTTCCAATCTATCAGCCAGGCTGCTCTCCATTGAATATCACTACCAATCTTCCTTTTACTAGAGTAGTCCTCTTTAAGACCCACCAAAAGTATAATTTTAAGCCCTCGTACTAAAGAAATAACCCCACAGTAGTGCCCTGAAGACATCTGGAAAGTAGAAAAAAACATAAGAGAAGCAGCTTTGTAGACACCAGGGTCAGAGAAGAAAGAGGGGAGAAGATGCTCCAGGTAACAAAGCACCTGCAGCCTGTGGAAAAGACCATGGTGGAGCAGGCTGTCCCCCTGCAGCCCATGGAAGACCACGCCAGAGCAGATATCTACAGTGCAGCCCGTGGAGGACCCTGCATTACAGCAGGCAGACATGTCCTGAGGGAAGTTGCAGTCCCTGGAGACCTCACACAGGAGCCGGCTCCTGACAGAAGTTCTGGTCCACGGAAAGGAACCCGTGCTGCAGCAGGTTTATCTGGAAGGACTGCAGCCCATGCTGGAGCAGTTCATGAAGGACTCTGGAGCAGGGAAAAAGTGTGAGGAGGAAGGAGAAGCAGAGGGAAACCGCTATGAACTGACTGCGATCCCCGTTGGCCATCTCCCTGTGCTGCTCGGTGCAAGGTGGGCATAGAAGAGTCAGGAATGAAGGAGTGAAGTTGAGCCAGGGAAGGAACAGGGGAGGGGTGTTTTTAGTTTTGTTTTTAATGAAATTTAAAAATAGAGTAAGAAGGTGAGAAACAAATTAAATTAACCTCCCCCAAGTCAAGCCTGGTTTTCCCATGACAGTAATCGGTAAGCAAACTTCCTGTCTTTATCTCAACCTATGAGCTGGTTTTGTCTCATTTTCTCCCCTTGACCTGCTATGAAGAGGGAGTGAGAGAGCAACTGGGTGGGCATCTGGCACCTAGTCAAGGCCAAACTCACCACAATCATGTATTTGTGACCACAACTCAAACTATTAATATTACAACCATTTAACAATAACAACAGAGAGATGCTATTGCTATGAGTCTCCCTCAAAAACCTTTACTTTGAGCACTAATTCCTCTCCTCTGGGTGGGAATTGTTTCCTATTCCCTATACTTATTTCTAGCAACATAAAATAAAACGCTCAAACACCATGCACTATTTTCCTACTTACATGTACTTCCAATGGAAAACACTTCCTGATAATATTTTTATTAATTCCATCTCAAACACAGTAGATGTTAACTTAGATAATTAACAGCTGTATTGTGCCAGCTCATATTTCCTGTTTCTTCACGTATCAATTGAATCTATTATATTGATATATTGATAGATTACTCTATCAGTGAAGGAATCTTCTCCAAAATAAAGCACGTTATTGACATCCATGTTAGAAGACACATTCTTCCTACTTAGTTATTACTTACCCTTGTAGCGGCCCCCTGGTGTTGCTATGCTCCAACAAACACTATTTTTTATAAAACATGCAAGATACTGTAAGGAGAGACTAAGAAGCATGAATAAAAGCTATATGCCTAAAGGGAAGCATTAATAAACAGATCTAACAAAGTCAATGGAGGGCAGGAAGAACGCATAAGAGCTTTTTAATGAAGAATTATTTTCAGGCTCTCTTTTAGGTAATAGGAAGGAAGATTCTCCTTTTTTCTTGGCAGTTTACAGGCTGGTTTTTGTTTGTTTTTTTTTTAAATGACATGGCTGGCAGCTTTCAAAATGTATCTAAGAATATTTTCTTTTTTTCTTCAATCGTTGCACAGAAATTTTTATTTATCTTTCAATCAACTCTTACTAAACCTTGGGTTTCAAGGGGGAGAACATCACCTACTGGCAGAAGAACCCAGAAAATCAAGCATAACAGACTGTTTCTTCCATTCTCAAGGTATTCAACAGCAGGACTAAGACTAACAACTACGTTCCCAGACACAAATGCAGTACTGTGTCCATCCAACATCACACTACAGAGTGGCAAAAACAGCATGCTGGAAAAAGTGTAATTGTGCACTGCCAACACCCTCCTGCCTCATTCAGATTTTAAACAATTTATAATACTGGCTTGAAATGAAATCATATTGCCCATTAACTTGCATATTTTCTGTTTGTATTTTGAACTCTGCTAACAAAATGGAGCATTTCACATCGAACAATCTTCTACTCACATGCACATTTTTTTACTTTTAGTATAGGTAATGACTTCAGGTTTACGTACTTGTAAAAAGCCTGGTTCTCCACCCCACATTTCCAAAGATGCTTGCAAGCTGCTGGTGTAGAGGTATGGAATGACAGCACAGCCTTTTTCTAAGTGCAAGGAAAAGAAGGCAAATAGGAGTAATGAAAATGCTGAATTCTCAAATATTGAAGTTGTAACTGATGGCATCAACAACAACCAGACACACTGAAGACCAAGTCTTCCTGTGTAGCCTCAATCTGTGGTTCACCCACAGAAGTACGACTCATATGTAGCTGATATTTAAACTGCCCAGGCAATTGTTTCAGAAATAAAAGGGGATGCTTGGAGAGGGCAGAGAAGAGCCTATGTACAAGTGGCTTGTAGAATAAATGCGTGCCAACTGTTTTCAGGCCAAAATCCAAGGAGGAAAGTCTCTTTGTTCAATATTCCACATTGCACAGTTGCTACACTACTCACCATTCACTTCTCCCTGTTCCCTGCATCCCGTATTGCAACCACACGAACAGCGCCCAATACCTCTGACATTATTTCCTTCCTCCATTTTCTGTTCCTCACCTAGCCTGCATCCAAAGCCATAATCTTGGGCTATACCACCCTGCCCTGGGGGAAGAACCAATTATAGCATGCTGGAGCCAAAAATCTCTATGATTTCAATGGCAAGAGCCCAAGGATACGACTCCTAACTACCTAGGACAGACTCCAGCCTATTCAAGTGACCAACATTTGAGGAGATGATCGTTAATTAGCCAAAAATACCTCACATTGATCCAGGTATCAATGTCCATCTGAATTTTCACTCATATACAGATGTCACTTATGCTTTAGAGTGGGTGGGTACAGCTTTACTGCTTTAAAATCTATTAAAACTTGACTTCACAGATGACCAAAACCGTAAGCTATCAACACAGCACTGCATGAATGTGAAGTGAGAAATGTCTCAACCCCTTGCAAATTAGACATTCTTTTGACAACATATTCTATATTTTAGTTGCAATATGAATTACAAATATGGATTGTTCACAATTTTGTTTAGTTAAAACAAGATGTTATGCTTTAGTTGACTCTAAATCAAATACAGAAGTTTTGTAAAAATATTAAGCCTGACCTCTTTCTGAGCTCCGAACACATAAAAAGTCTTTCCTTCAAATTTCAGTTTATAGACATCACACCTAGAAAGAGAAAAATCATTTAAGTATAGGAAAAATAGATAGAACTACAGCTAAGAAAAGCAACTTGCATGCAAGTTTCCCTGATTCCCAAAGTCAAGCAGGCTGTGAAATGACAGAGTCTCAACAGAAGTCTTACAACCTTTGGCATAAAAGCATTTAATATTTTAATTTTCTTTAAAGCAGAGAACATAAGCCGAGAGTATTTCTTTTACATCCCTGTGCACCTTCAAAGAATTAACTTTGGCTGTTGGAAAATGAAGAGGAAATTAAAAGCAGGCAGAAGCTTATGTTTACATCCTATTTATCGTACTGTTTGTAATTCCTCTTATATCTTAAAATCTTGGAAAGTCTAATGTAATTAAGTTGCTGGAAAGACAATACTCTTAGCTTGCATATGTTGCATAAGAAGGCATACAATCTTCTAGATGCAGGCACTTTTTACTAGCAACATCTTATCTATTTTATTTAATTTGTGGTTTCATATCACACATCTTAGTAACTGACTACATACAGACAGAAGACAACAGGGAGAAAATGTTTGACAGCATTCATTACTGGAGCCTTGTGAGTTTCAAACCTTGATGAATGTCAAAAATGTCAAAATTTAATTTAATGAAGGTTGAAAGCACAATCTACCTATGGAACAGTGGTGCACCATACAAAGGCAATACAATGTCTGCTTAAATTATAATGGAGAAGCTGTAGTTTTTTGGATTTTAGATGGTTGAAATGGGAATGATTCTGTAGGCAAGAAAAATGCCATCCTGGAAACTTTATTACAAGAGTTTTCCTTTAACATTAAACAAACAACAATGAAAAATCATTCCAGTTGAGAAAGCTTTTCCATTAAAAAGGAAATCTCAAATATGAATTTGGATTTTTATTCTGTAGTGCAAATTTCAGCTAATATCAGTTAAAGCTACTCGCATTCACTTTTAGGTCTCAGAAATGAAAGGGGCAGTACATGGTATTCAGATAAATCTCACCAGATCGACCTTCCAACGGCCAGCTTAACACTGAGACAGCTTAATGGCTTTTCCTCTATCACTATTGCATCTTGTATCCGGTTTACGTGCCAACGGACTAAACGAATACACCAAGAAACCAAGTGCTGTGAAACTCATTTCCCACAGTATGGTGGATATGTGCTCAGCAAGTGGTGCTCTCTCCTCCCTGCACCATGGACTGACGTTACAGTTACGCTGTCCTTATGCCAAAAGCACAAACCACCAAAGCACTGTGACTACAGCTACCTGAAATTAACCCTGAGGAAACTACAGCATAAATCTCGGATCACAAATGGATGGTATTTGACAGACACGTCCCCGGAGCTCCACATGGAACTGAATCATACAGACAGCACTACGCTGGTTATATACCTCTGAGGATTTCAGGTTAATTAGCTCTTGGGGAGGTTTCTGTGGATACACAGCAAAGAGTCCAGCTCTACACAAAAAAAACACTTCAGCACTTCTTCACTTCCTGCCCATCTTCTTCCCACAAGACAGGCTAGGAGCGCTGAGGTGGAGCAGCCACATCTAAGTAGTATCTGCTGTTGGCATCTGTTTAGTGGCTGGGTTAATATGAGATTTATCGATGTCTGAGCATGACTGCGCTCACTCTGCACCGCATTGCTGAGGGCATGGTCCTCATGGTGCTCTCACACCACCTGTGGGAGCTCACTTTTACCTCTCAAACTTGGCTGAGGCTGCCCAATTAAGTCGAACGTCTTACAGAAGCATAAAAGGAAAGCAAAGCCAGACAAACCAAGGACAATTCCGTAAGTGTCTGCTTCTTAAAACACAAGGCTAAAAAATAAAAACTCAAAGATATTCTCCCCTCCTCCTCTGCTTACCAAGTAAGTTCTTCTACAGTTTTCAAACTGAGGTTAATTAAATGAGGAAATAGCAACATTTCCAAGAGTCACAAATAAAAATGCAGGTGGACTCCTGGAAACTCTCCCAGACATCTCTGCCAATAAGCCTCATTGGTGATTTACAGCACAGTTGAAAACCATTATGTTGACTAATTGCAACCTGTGGAAAAATTTTCACTGGATGAAGAATAAGACCAAATTATTATTATTCTAATTCTCATCTAAGTTCCTTTAAAACAGAACTACGATGGGGCAAGAGAAGGAATATTCATGCAGTTCACCTCAAAGACAACAAATGCAGGTGAAGATAGTAGGAAGTAGGGAAGACACAGGAGAAAAAACTCTCGCATGTTAATCTAGTCTTACTTCACACGCTTACCATTTTAACAAATGAATTCTTTTATTCCCCTGGAAAACGACAAATCCTGCAGCTGTGAATCCTAAAAATGTAGTTGTCCCTGTTGAGTCCTTGAAAGAGAAAAAAGACATATAAATTACCCTTCATCCCGTGAAGTATTTCTTACTGATAGCACGAATTGTTGCTCCACTATAGATTACCTCTATTCTGTTTTCCTTTTTGAAATAAATTTTGCCTTCAAATTGTACACTTCTAAGGAACAAAGACTGCTCTTGGCAATACAGGCCTTATTTATTTCTAGTCATTTAACAGCATCTTATGCTTTGTTTCCATATACATGTAACTGATGACAATGGGAAATCCTTAGGCATACTTACTGGTTTTGTTGAAAATATACTTCTATGCGTGTCCCATTCTTAACTTGCTGACTAACTACAAACCAGTGATTCATATCTGCTTCAACACTGATATTTTTTAAGATTTGACAATACATTGTTCTTCTGCAAGATGTTGTGTTGGAAGTACTGCTGACAGTCCGCATTTACTGCAATACCCAAGTACTCTTGAGTACAAACCAGAACATACGGTGATACTTGTCTTTCAAACAGGAAAGACTATTTTTAAAATTCTTAATTCCACAGTGAAAGTTCTGGCTCACAGTTTACAAGCAATGATTCAGGTGAGTTTTGTATTAACTGGATTTCCTGTCCACCCCAAGTTCTAGACCCTCACCTTGCTAAAGCTAGTCAACTTTATTGTGCTTTATGTTCCACCAACAAACTATGGGGGAATAGACACAGTGCTGCTCCAGGGGCAGCAGCCACAGCATGGGAAGGAGCACATTGTAAGGAGCCAACTTGCTTTGCAGTTTGCTTCCAGAAATCCAAAAAATTTTCCTTAAGCATGGGCTGTGAACCCCTGCACGCCGTCATACTACAAGCCCTGCCACACAGGTAAAGAGGAAATTCTGAGCCAGTTTTGACTTTGTCCTAAGTGCCAACAGGAGTCTCTGGGATGCCCCCTGAAAACCCACAGTATAGTTTCGAACTAAAGTCCCCGACTTCACCGAGCTCTGAACCAGCCCCTGAATTTCACACAGGACCACCATTCGTAGCAAAATACATATGAAATTCCATGCGGTTTTATGTTAGAGCTGTTTAAGGGTGCTCACCACCAGAACAGCTAACTGGACAGCACTGCTGATCCACCAAATGAAATTATATACAAGCCAAAGTAAAAGCAGCAGTTAAAACATGAAGCACATAACACCAAAAATAAACACTGCAGGTTACATAGATAAAACTGAGTAACTAAAAATGCAGGTGTAAGGGATAATCAGAACTAGTAACTAAAATCACCTTATAGAGAACCACAAAACAGGAAAGTGGAGGAATATGCAAATGCATATCCAGTTCTCCCCTCTGTACATTTGGTTTCCTGTTCTTCCTAAGATTGGCATATTTTGATGGTTTTTGAAAAACTAATCTGCCAAGGACTAACCATTTCCTCCATCTTCTGGACAAGAATAATGCTGAATCCTGAAAATCTTGCCAAACATAAAATATTTCACACCTGGAGTATTTAGAGAAATCTTTGCATTAAATGCAGAGAAGTTATGAAGTATAATCAAAGCTTTTGTCATGACTCTATTACATTCTGCTATGATGTTCTGCTTCCCCTGGAGAGACCTTTCCTTTGGCTGATGCAGAAATGTCAACCAGTCAATGTTCTTCCAAGGCTTACCAGTAATATGTAGTTCCAGGGCAAGCTCTTTTATAAATTACTCTCTAGTTGTGCCTGGATATAAACAGAGCTAAATGAAGTCAATTAATGGCTCTTTACTAAATGTTAGTAAAAAGAACATTTTATTAAATGATAGTAAAAAGAACTGTTACCTTGCAAGGATGAGGATCAACACCATAAGTTTCCAAAGAATAAGCTTTCAGGAGCAAGTTAAATTCAGCAACCGCTGGGCTTTGACCTCTGAAATTACAAAAGAAGAAGTAGTTTGACAGCAAAAAGAAAATAGGAGAAAAGGACTTTTTGACTGGAGAGTCTAAAAGGGAGGAAAGAAAAGTTCTTACTGAAATAAAAACTATTCCAACCATGTTCTGTTTTTAATACAAAGATAGAAAACTTTTCTACATGTTTTGCTCTTGCTGAACTGTACAGTGCCTGATGTTTTCAGGTAAATTCTGTTTTTTTCTTAATCCTGAGATAACAACATGTTATGCAGCTAGCTAGAGTTATCCAATGCCCTGCAAATATTTGTTGTCTTTGTACACGTATGTCAACCTGAATATGATATAAACCTCAGCATCTTTTTTCCACAAACCCTTGCTCCCCAACTCATTTAAAAGGATTGTGCACATTAACAAACATTCCTTCCAACACAGGGTATAAACACAGCAATCATATTACACTGTCTACTCAGATGCACACCTAATTATAGCAGTGCCTGTTACCATCATCATAGTTCAGAATCTGTCAGCATTTCCATTATATGCTCCTATTTTTAGGGTGTCCATAATCAACCATGAACATACACTAAAGCCTGAAACATGGCATGCAAGAGTTGAGTTCTAGAATAAGTTTTATTAGTTGATTTTTGCTCTTCTAACTCCTGCCATTGCAATAAGCTCTAACACAGGTTTACAATGCCTGTTTGTCAGTGAACTGTTCCAAGTATTATTTTATTCCTGTATTTGCATCACTACAGTATGTGATTCAGACAGATAATATGGTTTTGTAACAATAAGCAGTGCTTGGGACTCTTAGAAAGCCAGGCCTCATAAATGCTTCTCATGCAAATTATCAAAAAAATGAGCCATAGACAAATCTTCAAAGAACACAGCGATAGTCATACTTTATCTTACCCCTGCATTTTGGGGGTCCAGTCTCACACTGTGACCAATGGCATTTGGGAATTGGCATTTAAAACTGCTCTGTGCACTGGTGTAGAATCCTTTCCCTGTAAGTCTGTTATCCCCCAGTGGCAAGAAACCAACAAGCACTGGCATACAAGATTCAGTACCCAGCCCGAAGTTCAGTTTAACAACTAAGACAATACCTAGCATGCTTGTGGATGTCAAATCCTATTTTGAGCCTACCCAGTTGATGCCCTGGGGCAATGCAAGCATCAACAACCTTTGTGTCACAAAGTTTTAATTCATGCTCCTTTGTACTTCACTGCTCATCATCTCCCTGTCAATCCCATGATATTTCTTGGGCTTCTTCCATGTGTCTTTTGGTCCTCCTTGATACTACACTACTTGCACTTTGTTTCAGATCACATTTTTGTTGATTTTTAGCTTCCGAAGAATAAAAAGCCACACTAGATTAGAGAAGAAGTGCCCATATTCCTCCTTCCTTTTTTGGTCTCTTTCTCACCACTTTCCACCACATGTATCAAGTGGAATACCGAATATTACAAATATGCATTTGCACAGCTAAATATTTGAGGGCAAGACAGCATGAAAGCAGCAAACAAACCAAAAATATTTTTGTTTTGCCCAATCAACTTTCTGATGGCTCTACTGAACTGTTTTTCTCCCCTTTCAATACTAATAAATCACAACTTTAAGTGTAATCACAACTGTAAGATCATAAATGAGCCTTTAATAGGCAACAAATCTGTTTCATGTACCAACTGCACAGGACAGAAGGAATTAACTAACTTGACCTAAATTACTTAGAATGTTTACGTTGCATAGTGAAAAGCCAAACAAATAGATGGTTTGATTGCTGATCGGAAATTGGGCCTTACAGGAAAATAAGATCATAAAATGCATCTTTTTCCCACTTCCCTTTGCTGGTACAAAGGAAAGTAGTCAATCTTCTAGTTTGAAAGGACCAAAAAGTGACACATAATTTGGAACAATGTGATATGGGGGTTTTGGCGTTTCCAAAAGGGAAAAAAACATTAAATTGCAATTAATATTGAAGAGACACATTAAACAAGAATTAGCATGTTCTCCTCACCTATCACCTCTGAAACTGTGCTGTCTTTGCACACATCAAGTGGAACAAGCTGGGGTACTTGGGGTAAAAAGTGAAAGACATGGACAAGTTTGATCTTATCAGACTACAGGCTAATTAAATGGGTATCGTGCAAAGCTTAACATCACAAAGCAGAGGAGTCAAGGGGAATATTAAATGAAAAAATCCTCGTTCATTCCCTATCAAGGGATTAATATTCAAGCCTTGATAATACGTTTTTCATCTGTAACTTAGCAATGAAATTTTCTTTACTAAATGAAAATGTAACTATTGCAAATCCTATCAGCAAAGAAAAGTCCGCATTTTATCAATCACTGACTTAACATTAGATATGCCTATGCCTTTGATTGGCTTTGTTAAAAAGCCTTTAAGCTTTCTACATGCAACAAAAAGCCTTACAGAAAAAATGTATAGAGTTTCCTCGCTTATGCAAGTGTTTCAAGTAATGCCTCTTACAGTGGAAAAACAGGGATTATTTAGACAACTCATCTTTGCTGTTTTGTAACTCCATTCTCTCAGGAAAGTCAGGTCTCTCCCAGTGCATTCACTCCTTTTGACCTTATATAACTTCCCAAATTTTTCAGTATGTACCCAGCATTAAATAGAAGATATATTCCCTTTCCATATGTTGCAGCCATTATAGCACCCAGCTGCAGCATGCCAAAGGTTTTGAACAGGACCAGTAAAAGGAACCATTGCATAGAAAAGTTTCTGTATACCATACAAATAATAAAATGTGGATTACCTATGAAATTGGAGCTCCACAGTTATTAGCTATGAATTAATGACTCAACCTAGGAATCAATCAATCTAAAAGTTCCTAATAAAATTTTAATGAAACAAAGACCTTTAATAGAAGACTGAGAAGTCTGCAGCATCCTCTGTTTTTCCCTTTAGGCTCATGAGAAGTACGCGCTAGAGTATGTAATAAACTCTGTTTATTCCCCACAGGGCCCCCAACTTTGCAGCACTTCAAAGGCCAGGAAGCTCAACAGGGAATACTTCCAGGGTGTGCCACAGCAATGATCTACTTGTTTTTCTGACTGCCCACACCAATTCACTCTAGAATTTTCTTCCCTTCACACCTTTCCTTTGAGGTATGTATCTGTTACAAACTGAAGTAGTGAAATTTAGTGAAAGTCAAGGATGAGATGGCACAGGATTGGACATTAATTCCTTTTAACAAACAGAGAAGGCTATATAGCAATAAAAGCAAAGAAAAAGATTTTCAATGCTATTCTCAGTTTCGTGCATCCTGAATGACCTTAGTGAAGTCACTTCATCTATCTTCTCTGATTCTCTGACTTATGAAGTGCTGTGAGATACTACTATTAACATAATAATAAATAATGATAATAATAATAATAAAAGGCATAATTATTGTCCATTCTTTTACCTCATCTCTATGTCAAAGTTACACGCTGCATAACACAATAGCAATATTGTACTTGAGCATGCGCCATGTACAATTAATTTCTGGGTATTTATGGTCTGTAGGGTGTTCCAATGTAATTAGTTCAAATAACAAGTATGTACATAATGATTGGCCTCTAGAAACATTATGTATTCACCTCCATGCAAACCAGAGAGAAGTATCAGCCATAAAGCTTTAAATAGCATAGGCCAGTGTCCATCAAAGACTCTCTGCCCTGTGCCCTGCCCTACAACTGTGGACATACTTTACTGCAGTGTCAGGAGAGACCACAGTGACTATTTCAAAAGGGATCTTCTTCTATGAAATATTCTCCTTCTTATATCCCAGATCTTGCACCAGACATCCTTCAGCAGAACAGGGTGACCTGGGTTTCCTTTTAACCTGAAAGCAGCCAGAATTCTGCAAAAAGCATCAACACATTTAGCTGCACCATATACTGATCGCAGAACTGCTTACCACGTGGCTGAGGTTTTGCTGTTGCTTCTTGAAATCTTTTTACAGGTGGTTGAGACTCCAATTGCTATCCAATTATAGTCTTAAAGGTCTTGACTAGTTTTTACTTTTCCTTTAAGCTCAGGAAATTTTGGCAGACAGTGGAGATGTTTTTAAATACAGTCTGTCTGCCAGTATTTTTAGCCACGATGAAGCTGCTAAGGAGGACTATGTGGTACTGCAACACAAATCTCCTAAAATTACCAGTGTTTCAGTTGTGCTGGAGACGACAGCACAATGGTGGAGATAATTTCAAAGAAAAGCACTAAATGAAGACACTGGGAAATGAAATTGTGGTGTGGGCTGTGGCTCAGTTTGTCAGAGCAGCGAGGCAACGCTTTGCACCTTGCCCAGGCAGCAGCGCTGCTGCCCGAAGAGCTGCCGGGGCCACCAGCAGCGGGAAAGGGAAAAGCCTTTCCATGAGTCTGCATATCAAAAGAGACCTTACCACCTGGCAAGCAGATGAACTGCTGAAATGTTGCTGGAACATATAAAACTTAGAAAACTGCATAACACTCAAATACCAATTTTAACTTCTACTGTAAAATTGTTTTTTCTCTCAGATAGACAGAATTCCAGGATGAGAAAAACCTGAATAATCACTTTAAAACAATAATCAAACTCTTTTACCAAGTTTATTAAATGCTTATGGGTTTAATTTTACACCATGCACACTATAATGACATGTGCCACTTACATAACTACTTTTACCAAAACATTTCAAATTACTTGTGTGCTTCAGAGATAAGGCTGAGACGGTATCTCTGAAATCTGTCTTTAGGTATTTGTATTTCAACTTTATTTCATAAATTAATGCAGTGACGCAGACAGCTTTAAGCCTACTCAACAGACAGAATACATTTACAGAGCAGATGCAGTTTTAATTTACCTATTATTAATTTAAAATCTATTCCCATGATACAGAGACATCTACTGAGCCATCTGTTTTTAATATCAGAGATTCATCTTTCTGGTCCAGACACACCTGGCCCATAAAGCCTTCTCCCAGATAAAGGAAAGGTGGGGAGGGAGGAGAGGGGCCAAGGAAACAGGTCTT